ATGTTAGTGTACAGATTTTCCCAAATATGTTTGTTTTAATATATGTACTTGTTATATCCAAACCTAATATATGTGGAGAAATGAAATATTGTTAAATAAATTGAGCTATACAAGAAAATGAAAAATGAAAAAAAATTTAGTTATAAAACATTGGTAAATAAATATATCTAAACCCTTTTGATACAATTTTTGAAAATTATTTTTACAAAATATTTTTAAAAAATAAAAATGAGACACAATTTGACCTAAATATGTAAAAGGCACCAAATACTTGCGCGACGAACGAGCCTCGTTGCGCGTAGTTTACGCTACGAAGAAGTTACTCGTCGCAACAGTTGCAATTACGTGCGACCAAACATATGTCTCATTGCGTAAAGTAACAATTTCACGCGACAACCTATACTTTCTTCGCGTAAAGCTATTTTGCATGACGATTTAGGTACTCGTCGCGCCAATATATTTATTTTAATTTAATATAATATATACATATATATATTTGAAATTGACGATCGAATTAGTTAATTGTATTCATATAGGGTCAAGGAGTGTAGTTGTAAAAAATCATCAAAATCGGAGTTAAAATAACTGTTAAATCGTAACTTTTCATTTATAACCGTCGAAAAGTTTTATCTCGTTACTTGATCTCTGAATGTTTGTTTTTTCCAATTTTTGGCGTATACGATCTCGAAGTATAAACAAACAAGTTTGACGGTTGGATTATTGAAACTAGTTTCGTAGAATACGTATGCCATCAAAACAATATATTCACCAACAATTAAGAGTTTATTTATAATTTCGTTAAATATAACATAAGATTATGTGGTATCCACTAGTGTAAATATCTTATATTGAAGATCAAATTCAGTCATTGTATTCATATAGGGTCATGAAGTGTAGCTGTAAAAAATCATCAAAATCGGAGTTAAAATAACCGTTAAATCGTGACTTTTTATTTATAATCGTCGAAAAGTTTTATCTCGTTACTTGATCTCTGAATGTTTAATTTTTTTCGATTTTTGGCGTATATGATCTCGAAGTATAAACAAACAAGTTTGACGGTTGGATCATTGAAACTAGTTTTGGGTTTAGGGTTTGCACGACGAATAAGAGGTTCATGCGTCGGGCAATATCATTCAAACCTTTTCACTTTCTCTCTCTCCCCCCTAAACCCTAAATCCCAAATTTTGGCAGACTCACAACCTTGCGCGACGGTTTAGTTTCTTCGTCGCACAATGTAATGAAAATTTGGGCGGAAAACTTACCTTGGGCGATGCCATTATTTCATTTTTGTCGCGCAAGGTGTATTTAAAATATCTTGCGCAACGCTTTGTTTCGTTCGTCGCTCAAGATCGAATAAATTTTCAGAAACAACGCAACTGCCTCATTCTTCCTCAGTTTCATATTTTGCCCTAAACTTCCTCTCTCTCTCTCTCTTCGCCATCAGCTGCCTCACCTCAACCCACTTCTCGGCCGAAAAAAGGACCGAGCCGCCAACACCTTCAAAGCCCAGACCTTCCCTGCCGCACCTCCCGCCGGAATTGGCCCAGTATTTGCAGATTCTTCTCCGCCCTGGTCTCTCTCCTCCGGCCACCAATTTCGACACCTGAGGTATGTTGTCTAGACAATTTTTCGTTCTCTAGCTGATGGTTGGGTAGGATTTGATTAACTGTTAGTTTTGGTACCTCAAATTTAAACCCTAAGTTTGGCCAATTTTTGAATTTAACTTGTGGACACTTCCGGGCATTTTTCGGGGTAGGTCCAAGAACAAAAGTTGCTCCAATTCATGTTTTGAACTTAAGGTTGGAGTCTTGGCCCTAAATTTTTAGAATTCTTTGGCGACATGTTATCGCTTTGGACACCCACGCGATCCCGGAGCGTGGGTTACTGTAGCAGTGGGCATTGGGTCCCAGTGCAATCCCCTAGTTGTCTCGAGCGCGTAGATGTGCTTGGATTTGAATTTGGTTACCGTTTGAGTCTTGAACGGATTTCGCCTATTATGTGATTTCCGGGTTTGATATGTTCGGAGTGTTGGATCAAATTCAAACTCACGTATGTTGTACCTTGTATTTATAGTATCGTGGATCGGAATCCCGGATACTCTGAAATCGTAAACCCTAGGTCAAGCTATGCTTAGAATTATATCTTGCTAAATTGGATAGATTTTTATTTGTATTAATGAAATTGTGCAGATGTCAAACCTAATTAGAAGTCGTAAGGCGGTGACGAATGCACAGAGTTAGCCTCCCCCGGCCCACCAACACCACCAACACCACATCGACAGACGCTACTGTTGCGTCGAGGTCACAACCAAGTATAGATTTCCTTCAACTGTTGTTGTATTATTATTATTATTATGATTATTATTATTTAATTGTATAGTTTTATTTGTTATTTATTTAACGTTAATTTCATCTTTCTTTGCAGCCAAGAAGAACACCCGGGGGACGTGTCGGTAGTTGAAAACTGCGAAGGTCACCCGGGTGACCAACAGTCGTATCAACATTGGATATGACGAGCGGCATCGGACTGCATCGACGGGCGGAGTTGCATAGCTCATTGGCCCATGACATTGGTCACGTCGTTCAGACCCATTGCCCTATGCAATGGAAGTCTTGGAAGGTAATGCCTGACGAGATCAACACGAAGATGCACGGCCAATTGTCGGTATGTATCCTTCCTTTTAATTCTTTTTCCTTCAAATTTTATATATTTATATTACTTGTTGAGAGGTACAAACAGTGGAAGAGCGAGTTGCACCACCATTTTGAGGCCCGAAGGAGCTTGAGGGCCGGGAGGATAGTTGGGCGTGGCTCTGCGCTCATTTTCAGGCGCCCGATTATGTGGTATTTTTTAATATTAATTTCAAAATTATTACATGTTTCTTACTAATGTGTATTTCATTTTTTATATTTCATTTCAATTTCAACTAATATGTTTATTTTTTGTATAACATAATAAAGCCAAAGTCAATAAGGGCAATAGGAACAAGAAGACTCTTCTCCAGCATTCAGGTTCCATGCCCTTCTCATATAAGATGCATGCACGGCGGTGGGTAATAATAAAATAGTTTATATAAAAATTTTTAATATGTCATTAATATTAATTTATTTTTTTCGTACTAACATTTTTCTTCTCTTGTTCAATTCAGGGGGGGTCCAAATTCTTGGAGATCGACGTCTTTCCCGACGTTCATGTTCGACCTGGGAATGAGTTGACTGACCCTTCATGTAAGTATTCTTCAAATTTAATTATTTTCTTACGCATTCAAGTTTCAGGGTTATTATATGAATGTTTTAATTTATATTTTATGTTATGTTAAACATACGACGATGGTGGAGATGAACCAATTGGTTCTTCAGGAGTTCGCCTCCCAACTTCCTCCCGATACTCCGATCGAGTCTATGGATCCTCCACAGGATGCTGGGTTTCACATCTTGACTGAGACGTTGGATCAGACTATCGGGAAGAAGCCGGGGAGATATTGTCGAGGGATAGGGAATGCCCAGCAGAGGGGACCTAGACCTCGGTCATCGTCGCAGGCAAACAGTCAGGTGACTGCTTTGACAACAAAGGTGGCCGAGCTTCAAGATCAGATGTCTGTGATTCTGGAGTCCCTCGTGCGATCCGGCATTCCAGTCCCACAATTTGTTGCCTCGACCTCCGAGCCCGTCCACCCCGCCGAGCATGGGTCACCAGACCTCTGCCCCTGTGGACATTGTTCAGACCTGCGAGCCGCATCTGCCAGACGACCACGTTGATTTTGGAACATTATTCGATTAGTTTTTTTATTTTTTAATTACATTTTTCTTTTCTCTTCATTACATTTTTTTAATGCAATTTTATTTTATTGCAAAAAAAAAAACCAAAAATTATTTTTTTTACAAAAAAAAATAAACGAAAAATTAAATTTAAATAAAATATATTTTAATTTTGTGCGACGCAATGTTTTTCGTCGCACAAATTCACATTTTACAAAATAAAAAACGTCAAATTACATTTTAAATTACTATATTTTATTCTTGCGCGACAAATACTTTCTAGAGCGCGAAAAAGAAATGACGATTTCGTCGCGCAAGAACAATCGTCGCACAATTTGGAGACACAAAACGCGCTACGAATACAAATCGTCGTGCAAATGGTTGAGACACGAATAGCACGACGGATAATATTCATCGCGCAGTGCACTCGCAACAAACATGCGTTCGTCGTGCAAAGGTTTGTGAGACGAACGATTGTTTCGTCCCTCAACCTTTTGTGCAACAAAGGTTAACCGTCGCTCAGTTTTGTGCGACAAATGCGAAAACTTCGTTGCACAAAGTCTTTATGATCAGACCCATTTCAGTTTCAGACCAAAAACAGGTCGTGATCTTTCTCAATACTCAACTTCTCGCACAGAAGAATCTGAAGAAGAGGAGAAGAGAAATGAATGGAGAAGAATTAGCGGGCCCCCCAGTCCCCAAAGCTCCGCCGTCTGCTTTATTTTTTCGGCGTTGGCTGCAAGTCATGAATTTTCTTTTTTTCTTTTTTTTTTGGGTAAAAATGAATTTTCATTTCAATTTTAAGTCTTTGGTTTTTAAGTCTTTTTCTTCTTCTTTTTTAAATGTTTGGCGGATTTTAAATTCAGTTGTTTTCTTTCAGGGCTTCATGATAGGTTCGCAGATTCAGAAAAGGAAAACAAAGAAGCAAATTAAAGGAAAGGCATTCATGACCCCTCTCTGTACCAGCTATTAGTACTTATAAATGATTCTGGATGATGCCAAAAGGATAACCGTATCCTAGCTTTACGGGAAATAGAATCTAAACTATTGCAATGAAATAGAAAGGATGGATAGGTCCTATCACTTCATAGAAGAGGTCCATCCGACGACAATGCAGTGTTTTTATGTGAAAATTTTATCAGGTGAATCTGTCATGACCAGAAATGAAGAGGAAGAAAAAGAAAAAAAATTAAAAGCAAACTGAAAATGCAAAATAAAAAGTACAATATTAATAATATATATCTAGCCTCGAAGTCTTCTGTCCATCCTGTTGATGGGGACTGTTATCATCACATAGAGGAGCCTATCTTGTACATTGTTTATCAATCGAAAATATGCATATCTCCAAGTCTTGTTAATAATTAAACAACCACAAACTCCCCAAAATCCCACTATAAACCCCAATGCTGCAAAGATATAAAACCATGGAAGTTGATGAAGCCAATTGTGCACGTCTTTGTTGTTCTTGTTATCTGCATCAATGCCCTTATTTGGTTCACACTTTGGAAGTGGCGCACCACAAAGTTTTGGGTTCCCCTCAAACGCAGAAACTTCGAAGCTTTGGAGCTGGGTGCCTGTTGGTATCGATCCTTCAAGGTCATTATATGAGACATTAAATTCTTTTAAGAAATTAAGGCTCGCCAATGACGATGGGATTATTCCAGACAAGTGATTCATGGAGAGGTTCAAAACCTCTAAATTTTTTAGGTTAGATATTTGGTCTGGAATGACACCGGAGAAGTTGTTGGAGTCAAGACTCAACGTGTAGAGAAGATGCAATTGGCTGATCTCCGTGGGTATATCACCAACAATGTTATTCGTAGAGAAGTCTATCGTTGCTGGAAAAAAATACAATTTTTGTGATAGAAAAGTTTGATTTGCGGTTATGCTGATGCTGCTGCTGTAGACAGGAAATTCAAATTCATAATTGTCTCCTTGAGATGCAATTGGTTCATGAAGCAACCTTGGTAGTCGACAAAGTTGCTGTGGAAATTTACCTGAAATTTGGTTGTGTGACAAGCTTATATAAAATAGTCTAGGAAGAGTCCCCAACCAACTTGGAATCGGCCCTGTGATTTGATTAAAACCCAGAGCCAAGATCTCTAAATTCTTGAGCTTTGATAACCAAAAAGGTATTTTACCAGTGAGGTTAGAACGAACCAAACCCAAGAGCCGAAGATTTTGGAATCCATCAAAATCAACCATGTCATCATCAGATGGCATTCCCTCACCCACAAAGGAACCGCTAAGCAAGAGTGCGTGAAGACTTTTGCAACTCATCAATATCTTCATTGCCCCTGTGAGGTTGGTGAATCGGTTGTAACCAAGCGAGAGGAAGGACAAGGATTTCAATGAAACTATCTCAGCTTGTATTTGTCCCTCTAGATTATTTCCAGTCAACCGAATGGCTTTTAGGAACCTACATGAGTAAAGGCTTACTGGAACCGTACCAGTGAAGTTATTGATCCGTAGGTCAAGTTTAGTAAGTTGGCTCAGTCTTGAGAAATTAAGCACAGAGATATCTCCTTCCAAGTGGTTGTTTCCCAAACGCAGTTCGACTAGGTTTGTGCAATTCATCAAAGATGGGGGCAACACACCTTCTAAATTGTTGAAATCTAAGGTTACAAACTTCAACCTGGAAAGCTTCCCCAAATTGTGAGGAAGCTTGCCGCCAAAATGATTAGAGGAAAGGTCAAGGATGGCAAGGTTGGTGAGGTTGACAATTTTACCACTAATGGCTCCATGTAGTGAATTGAGAGGTAATGCAATTTCTTCCAGTTTGGTAGCATTATAGATATCTTCTGGAAGTAATCCTGAGAGGTTATTGTGATTGGCACGAAAAACCTGCAGTTCAGAACACTTCCCTAACCCAGGAGCAAGGTCGCCATTAAATAGATTGGAAGAAAAATCCAATAGCCTAAGGAAGGGAGAAGAATGTTGGAGACAAATAGAGGATGGGACATACCCTGTGAAGCTATTGTTGCTAACATTGAAACTAGTTAAGTTGCTTGCTTGTTGGAAGAATGAAGATGGAATTGCACCAATGAAGTGCACCAAAGAAGTGATTGCTGGACAAATCAATTGTCTGGATATTGCTAGATAGTAGAGAAATTGGTAGCTCTCCAGAAAGATGGTTATAGCTCAAATCGAGGATATCAAGCCGATTCAAAGACAAGAAGAATTGAGTTTCAAGTGAACCAGATAGTGAATTGTGGGAAAGGTTCAAGTGAGTGAGATGCGTGAGATTTGCAAGTGAAGAGGGACAGATACCTCCTTTGAGCCCTTTGGAAGGCAAGAGCAAGTGGGTGACCCAACCATCTTGATCACAAGTGATGCCCTTCCAATGACAGCAATCAATGGATGTCCAATTTAAAGGAGGAGAAGAGAGAGTTGAGGCAAAGGACTGAAGGGAGCTGCATTCAGTTTGTTTGCAGTCATGAATATTTGTGGATATAATGTAAGGGAATAAGAGGAAGAGAAGGAAGGCATGAGCCATTAGGTTATAAGCTTGCACTAGCATGTTGCTTTGTGTATGTGCCGTTGCTCACATGTATATTTTTATATATAAGAGCAAACATGCTTCAAAAGGATGCAAACATCACTGCAAATTGAGAAGTCGGCAAACAACAACCACAGAATGCAAATTATTGATATTGAAACCCTTGGGCCACCAGGAGAGGACTTGACCTTGATATATGAGACAAACAGAATCCTTGTTGAATTCAAACTGGAATATGTTTTTCGTTTATTTTTAAGGCAACTGATAACTGATACCAGCTCATCTTCCATGTTAATCACTCAAAGTCCAAGTTCAAAGTTGTTTTTCTTGTTGATGATTCTTCTAAGAACTCATCTTTGTCGTATCTCCACAGAATTAGGAACAGCTTGTAATTTGAAACTTGTATTGATATAAATACAGCCAGCCACCCAATGTTTGACGTGTGCTTTCCCTCATTGGTGTTTTCTTTCAAAAAAATGACAATTTTTCAAGGACTTTGGAAGATATATGGTGTTATTTTTCTTGCCAGATTGATATGGCCTGAGAGTGACAGTGCCAGTCAAGCCTGATCCGACATTATACATTGACGTTATTTTTAAGGCAGCTGATAACTGATACCAGCGAGCACATCTTCCATGTTAGTCACTTAAAGTCCAAGTTCAAAGTTGTTTTCTTGTTGATGATTCTTCTAAGAAAATTCAAAATTGGAGGATAGTCATTTATTCCAAGTTGTTTGCCCAACAAGAAGGCAACTACTATAATAAAGTTTCTTGGTAGAGCAATAATGTTGAACCCTCTGAGCGGGCAGAACTTAACAACTACTTGCTAAATATATTGATAGCTATAAAATGAGCCCCACCAGGAACAAGTGTATTGTGTTGAGTTGTGGAGAATAATTCTAGGAGACGAGTGTTTGGATGTCGCATTTGTAGTGGAGGATAGCAATTCTGTAATTTCGAGCAAGCTGCAAGCTAAAAGGCAGTTCTGTGAAAGTTGCATCTAATTTTTTGATTTTCTTATAGTTAGCTAGAAAGCAATGCAGTTATGACTTGAAGTCAATTGAATTGCTTTCAGGGACCTACATGAGTAAATGCTTATTGGAAACGTACCAGTAAAGTTATTGACCAAGTCTGGAAAAATCAAGCACGCAGATATCTCCTTCCAAGTTGTTGGATTGGATCCCAAGTGTAGTTCTACAAGGTTTGTGAAATTCATCAAAGATGAGGGCAAAGAACCTTGTAAATTGTTGAAATCAAGGGCCAGAAATTTCAACTTGGAGAGCTTCCCAAAAATAATCAGTAAGAAATCACAGCAAAAAACACTAAAAAGATGCACATGGGATGAATATTTTTCACTAACCTTGCTTCTAAATAATCGCTCTTAATTTGGGTTTGACTGGCATGTGAAATTGGATGAGTTGGTGATGAGCTGAAATGGGTTCTGATCGCTTGTTCTTGTCTTTAAGTTACTAAAGCAAGCCGCAAGCAGAAGCACTGAGACTGAGAGAGACTAATTTATTTGTTGTGGGTTTTGTTTGTATTGTTGACTGGGATGAATGAACTAATGATGAAGTGAATTGGGTTGTATTCACCATTGTTCCTGTATTTAAGTTACTAAGCCAAGCACAAGCACAAGCACTGAGAAAAAATTATACATATAATTGCTTTTTGAGTTTTGTTTAGATCGTTCAATTGATTAGGAGGATGACTAATCGATGAAAAATAAGAGAGCATTGCCCTATCATAGTGGTTTCATTAAACAGTCTTCTGCTTTCTGCAAATATGTGCACTACATGACATGACATGACTAGTACCAAGTAGCAAAGCAAAGATACGATTAATCCAATCAGATTCGACCCTGAAAGTGTAATCATATTCAGATAAAAAGGCAACCAGGTTCGTACCCAGCAATAAGCCAAACAAAATATCATTCCACACCGGTGACATAAAAAACCTACAGCCCATCTCGAGCAGCCTCCTTGCTTATCTACAACATGCCTACAAGACTCATGGTGACGTAGCCTCAAGCTCAGTAACGGTTTGTACCGGGGATGCCTCCATTGTCCCTGCCTGGTGTGTAGTTATCTTGGTATTGCCCAGGACTCCCCCATCCTGCATTAGGCGGTGGACCTCCCATGTTATTTGGTGGTGGGGGCACTCCTCCCATGTTGTTTGGTGGCATCCCCCTCATGTTGTTTGGTGGCACACCTCCCATGTTGTTTGGTGGCACACCTCCCATGTTGTTTGGTGGCACACCTCCCATGTTGTTGGGGGGCATCTGATTGTAGTTAGGCGGTGGCGGCGGCATCTGATTATAATTATGAGGCATCTGATTGCTATTGTTGTTGGGCTGCCCACCACTCCAGTTGTTTGGCTGCTGCACATTACTGTAGTTTGGACCCATGTTGTTGTGGGGAGGCATTGGACCCGCATTGGGGGGCGGGGGGCCCATATTGTTGGGAGTCCTCATGTTGTTGGCAGGTCCAGGCATGTTAGGCCCAGGATTTTGCCCAGCTTGATTAGGCATAGGAGGCTGACCCCTGTTCTGAAAATCTCGGTTCTGCATATTTTCCCTCCTCCTATCAAAGTTCCTTGATCTGTCATAATTTCGAGGTCTGTCATTGCGTCTGTTTCTCTCGTTTGCTCGGCTATTGTTTCTTATCCATTCCTCATGGTATTTGGGATCATATGGTACTGCTTCACCATTAATAAAAGGTTCTCCTGCCAAAACAAAAAATAACAAGAAAGCAGACAATCATGTATAAATGAATACTTTATTGCCGAAAAACTAATTGAAAAGAAATGAATAAACAGGTAGACAATGTACAACAGAATGGCAGTTTAAGATTACTATAATATCAGTATTAAAAAGGCAACTACTATCATACACAGCATTCAAAAAGCAATTATGCGAACTTCCAAGGCTAACATTGACTGCCTAAGAGGAAAATTTTCATCATCGAATTCTAGAGACCAAAACCTTTTGTGAACTGGGGTGGGGAGGGCAATGCACCCCAGAAGCAACTACACAGAATTAGAAATAAAAATCAAACAGGCTTTAGAGACCTGACCCAACTAAGAGATCCCCAAAATAGCAGATGCCTAAGTCCAAATCATAACTCCAGTTAGCTAATTACCCCACAATATCATTTCCCAGGAGAAAAAAAGTAGAAAAAGAATTAAAACCATGGCAATGACTGCCCCAACAGATTAAGCAATCGTACTTATAAGTTTATAACTTAATTGATTCAAATGCTACAAACACTTTAACTTTTTCACTGCAATTGGAAGAAATGAGAATATTCTTACCTCCATAATCTTTGTTCTTAACATCCAAGTAAGAATCAGGAAGTACCCACCGCACTTTAGGCAATTCTGGAATAATACAGAAATGAGAACCCGGACACACTTAAAAAAAACAAAAAAAACAAAAACAACCAAAAGCCCAAGCAATAGAAGCAGAAGTACCTTTGATTTTGTACGAAGTCTCTTCAGACACAAGTGCCCCAAATGCATAATAGCACCTAGTTGAAACTGAGTAGATCTTCATCCTTGCTTCTTCCTCACTGTAGTTGAGACACAAACAAATGCATCAATCAATTAATACAAGCAATGTGAACTACATTAGAGAGTGACCATATCTTTTATACCATAGTTGGTTTCGTGTGGTAGTTAGTACAAAGTATAAATTTCAGGCAACATTAATAATTGATGTATATGATACCATTGCAGGTACTTGTTGAAACATCAAAGATATCAATCTATCTAAAATTTAGTATGTAAAAGTGATCAAAACCATGCTATATACATCAGATCATTATGCCCATGATATAGAGTTATTACAGGTCCGATTTTAAAGACTACAGGCCCCATAAGGAGTTGGGAGTTTTTCTTTTCTGGAGAACTACCAACCACAATGCCAATCACCAAGATTTGTAATCCCATACTACGCAGCTAATATAGACGAACAATATAACTTTAGTGAAACATTTTTTTGAAAAGAAAGGATAATATATTGCCAAAGACAAGAAGGATACAAGAAAGAAACGTGGCTAAGAGAGCCATAGGGCCCTAGGACCAATGACAAAGAGCAATAGAAACTACCAAAAGCTAATCTATAGAAAGCTGCAGAAAGCTAATCTACATAGACCTAAACTATGCCTTAGTGAAATGCTATACGAAGAAATTAAGTCAATAATACCTTTGCAAAAAGAATGCTCTAATATAAATCAAATTTCTAGCACAACAAAGATAATTTGAGAAAACAAAATAAAATCAGATGACAGAAGGAACAGCCAAAAGTTCCACTATTCAACAGAAATCAACCTAACCCAAACATTAACCCCAATACAGAATTAAGAAGTGATTATAAAATAAAAGTTATATTCTTTAAATTAAAAGATATTGTTTACCACAAACAAAGACATACATATGTATATTATCTGCTGGTAATTTCTAAAAAAACAAAAAATTAGCAGAAAATATATAAACT